TTTTTTTTTGTTTCTAAAAGTAGTAGTTTTTGTGAAAAGAAAGTGAAAATTACAAAATCTTTGCTACTTAGCCAAATATGTTTACTATAGGGTAATGACAGTAACTGCGGAGATTTAGTGAGTTATATTTGAAGCCAATAAGTTTTTTCAGAATTATTTCCTGCTGAAAATATTTTTTTGAAGCAAATGTTTCAGGAAGAAAAAAACTTATTGACAAAGAGAACTGTTTGAAGGCACTGTATACTGTATAGAATCTGTGCAGTTATTTGACGTTATGAAGTGTCGACTGATCAAACATCTATCAAAGGTTTTGCATCTTATGCTTTTCGTTGGTTGTTTTTCATAAGGAAGTAGCAGAACAACTGTATTGCCTATATCTTCTTCTCATTTTTACTCATAACACTTTAGATGTATATTATTGAGCTTGTTAACATTATATTTTGAAAGCTATTATAATTACCTGTGCCTTTTTTTTCTTTCTGGTGCGCCAATCAAACAATGGTGGTTGGGAAACTGAAACAGAATGGCGTGAAGAAAATGTTATTTGAAATGTCACCCGATGGAAGAGCAAAAAAGGAAAAGGAAGAAGAAGAAGAAACTGAAACAGAAACGATGGTGTTGATGAAGAGATGATGGAAATGTTGACGCCGGACAAACGCTAACGGGTGAAGGAAGACAAACGACGAAAGAAGACGAAGAAAAATTTGGTTAACCGGTTATAAGTACATTTGAAGGCTGCGGTAAATTTTGGCTAGTTTTTATTTTTATTACTAATAATTATTGTTGTTTTTATTATTGTTGTTATTATTGTTATGATTATTGTCATTATTATTATTTTCACAGCTGTTGTCATCCTTTTTAAAGGTCGTTTTTTCATTTTTTTCAATCTTTTTATTTTTTTTTCTTTTATTAACACATTAATAATACTGTTTTCAAAAGTTTTAGATGTCAATTTTGTTTGTCGATAAGTTTGGCGTATCTGATAAGCCACAATTTCTACAATTATCTCTATTTGGTACTGTTTATTTTAGTTGTTTTTCAAATCCAACATTGGTGTTCAATTTGGCCATACAGCGATCTGTCCACAAGCATCATTTGCTGATAAAATTTATAGAAGTTGTTTAATAAGTGGTCAGCAACTCTTTTTTTTTGCTTAAATTTTTATACGATGATCACAGATGATCATTTATACCATTATAGGCGTATGTTTTTGCCTGTGCAAAGTTACAAATGATTGAAACAACTGAACTGTAACTGTGTGTGTGTGTGTTTGTGTGTGTGTGTGTACGTTTTGGTACAAATGTAAAGAAGCAAAAGAATGATAAATACTTCTCCTAG